AGAACCGAAAACAAGTGTTCAAACAAAAACTTGTACACAAATATTCAGAGCAGCATTATCAATAACATCCAAAGGTAGACACAACCTAACGTCTACCAGTGAATAAGTGGTTGAACAAAATATGGTATATCCACACAGTATAATATGACTTAGTAATAAAAAGAAATGAAATTCAGATACATGCTACAACAGAAGCCAGACACAAAAGGGCACATATTGTATGATTCCATTTGTACGAAATTCCAGAACAAAAAATCCATAGAGCGAAAAAGGAGATTAGAGGTTACTGAAAGGGCGGGCCTACGCCAGCCGACTCCATCTTGTTCTGTGTCCTTCACCTTGACCACACCTCCTCCCCTTGAGTAACCCCCCTTCACCTGCCTAACAGGACTCAGACCCTTCCCCAGGACCCTTCCCCAGCCAATCGGCTGCGGCCATAGCCATTACTTCACCAACTGCCCCCAGGCCCCAATAAAACCTTTGTCCTTTTGAAACTCGCTCTCTTTCCCTGGTATCTCACCGCTGAGTCGGTGCAGGTAGGGGATTGAGCTCGAGCTAGCTCGAATAAAGGCTCTTTGCTTTTGCATCGGACTCGGCTCCCTAGTGGTCTTTGGGGATCACGAATTCTGGGCATAACAGTTACTAGGGGGAGAGGGGAATCAAGAGCTTCTGCTATAGAGCTTCTGTCGGAGTGATGAAGAAGTTTTAAGAAATAGATAGTAGTAACGGTTGTATAGCACTGTAAACAGAACTAATGGTATTGAATTGTACACTTAAAAATGGTTAAAATGGTAAATTTTATGTTACATGTATTACCACACAAACACAAAAGCAAACCAATCTAATGCCAAACTTCAATATACACTGTAAGATGCAGCATGAAAATCTTAGTATGAGACTCCCCACAGTATGAGATTCAGCTATGAAATTACACATCTTCTTAGGTTTCACTTAATAGGCTTACACTTTCAGTTCATTCTTAGCTTTAAAAAGTATTTAAATGTGTAATTTCTAGGCTTGAATAATATTCCTATTATATGAAGTATTACTTTTAGATTTTCTCAGCCTAATTTAATTTCACAATGTGTGAACCATTTATCTATCACGCTTTGGCATAACAGAATTGTAATTTTAAAAACTTAAATGTGCGGGCGCCTGGGTGGCGCAGTTGGTTAAGCGTCCGACTTCAGCCAGGTCACAATCTCGCAGTCCGTGAGTTCGAGCCCCGCGTCGGGCTCTGGGCTGATGGCTCAGAGCCTGGAACCTGTTTCCGATTCTGTGTCTCCCTCTCTCTCTGCCCCTCGCCCGTTCATGCTCTGTCTCTCTCTGTCCCAAAAATAAATAAACGTTGACAAAAAAATTTAAAAAAAATAAATAAAAACTTAAATGTGAATTACACATTTACATATAAATTGCAAATGGTCAAAAGCAAAAAGCAAACAATGAAATACAACTTCATACCCTCTGGGTATGGCTATGTTTAAGAAACAAAAAAACAAAAACAGAAGGGCAATAATAAGGGTTGGCAAAGATGTGGAGAAACTGGAACCCCATGCACTGTGGGTCGTAACGTACGATGGTGCAGTCACTTTGGAAAATGGTTTGGCAGCTTCTCAAAATATTAAACACAGGGTTACCATATGACTCAGCAATTCCACCCAAGAGACATGAAATCATATGTTCATCGAAATGTTTTCACAAATGTTCATAGTAGCATTATTCATAACAGCCAGAAGGTAGAAACAACCCAAATACCAAACAACTGCCAAATGGATAAACATAATGTTGTACATCTACACAACAGTATACTAGTTGAATGTGAAAGGGAATGAAGTACCGATAAATGCTACAGCATGAATGAACTTCAAAAACTTCATGCTAAGTGAAAAAAAAGCCAGAAATGTTATATGATTCCATTTACATGAAATGTTCCCCAAAAGACAAATCTATAGAGAGCAGTTTAGTTGTTCCCTAAAGCTGGGGGTGGGAATGCGAAGGGACTGCTAATGGGTACCAGGTTTCACTTTGGGGTGATGAAAAGGCCTAAAATTAGATTGTAGTAACTGATGGCTGCACAATCTGGTGAATATACTAAAAACCATGGAACTGTATGTTTTAAGTGGGTAAATTTTATGGTATGTAAACTATATCTCAATAAAGTTCTTTTAAAAATCTGCTCCATCTTTTCATTCCTATAGCTATCCAAGTCTATTTTCTATCATTTACCAATATGAACCTTCTAATTTGTCCACCCAGAGTCCAAGGAAAACCCCACACTCAATTACTTGACTCTGCTCACAGTGTTCCCCTATGAGGAATATTCTCCCTAGGTTACACTCAAGTCACAAATTCATTTTGAAGATTTTCCTGACCAAGTCAATCCTCATGGACCTAATTTTCCTCTAGATTCCATGCCACTTGTAATTGGTAACACTGTAACCTCAAATACATACATAAAGCAGTTTCATCTTAGAGAATGAACAGCTAATTTTTGTCATAATCTCTAATTCCTGGCTTTAATCTCTTTTACCTTCTCAGGGACGAGCTAGCATCTTGAACACAGGTGGTACAAATGTCTGCTGAATAACATACACATGCCTTGAATGCAACTTCCTCCATGTGTTCAGTAGTACCAAAACCTTAACAAATATCCAAAGTCTTAAAGCAGGAAACAGAAGTGAAGAAAAAGGAACTAAAATGCTGGGACATGCTATCACTTCTCAAGAGTGTATTAGAGAAGCATGCGTTCCTATAGTGCATTTCAAGGTGGCCATTTACTATTGTCCTCAAACTTGGGTGTGGACTAGGCATGCTTAACTTTAAATAGTTACTAACACTTCATTGTTGTCACAGTAAAAAAGAGCACTATAAAGAGAAGGAAGAATTTAAATATGCAACTCTACTTCCTCCTAACAGTGGGGTGCCAAGATTCAAACCCCAGTGCCTTTACATGCAGTCGGAAGAAATTAACACAATGACCCTTGGAATTAGTACTGAACAGAGGTGTCTGAGGCGGGAATAAGAAGGAGCACTGCTTTCAAAGGACAGAGGGGTAGCAGGGGCAGAAGACAAGTCTTAAACACCAAACTTCTAAAAGCAACAAAGACAGCGGGTCATAGCAGAGAAGCCACCAATTGCTGAAACCTGATCTAAAGCCTGACTGCAGGAGCCTACAAAATTTCAGAGCATTTCTTTCTGGTATCCTGTATAGGCAAGTCTAATTCCACTATATGAAATTCTTTAACCTGGCCCTGAAATGACACAAACACTGAACACTTCTCATTTGTTTAGCTTCAGAAATATCTATCTTTCCCTTCTCCTGTATTTATACTTATCTGGTAGCTTGCCTTATATTGTTTAAAAGCCAAAACACACAGACTATAATCATTCAGACTTGCTTATGGGATTTCCCTGGTAGCAAAGCAGTTATCTTCAAATGTATCATTATTTCAGTTTATTACAGATTTTTTTTACTTGTTTAATTTGGGTCTCTTTAATAATTACCTTCTTATTTGTAAAGACTCCTTTAAATTATACCTTTCTTTCCCTGTCATTTGGTTTTTAATATTCGGTTGCTTAGAATAAGGGACTATGACATGTAGTTAAGGTGGGTAACTCTTCTTCACTTCAGTATTCAGAAGACTATTAAGGTGCAGAGAAAATACACAACATAAATTCTTAAAGAGAATGTTTTTCATAATGTAGGTATTGTTCTTTTATCATTTGCTACCTTTTTTGAACTCATATTTATAGATGCTAACACTACCAGTTTAAATGTTCAATGAAGAACTTTTGTGTTTTTGCAAAAACTATCAAGATTTCTTCAAACTACGTATGAATACAGACAGCATTTGATTATCATTTTGAATAATGCCTTCAACACATCAGGACAACTTCTCCCAGTGAATACTTTGTTCAATAATAAGAGAAAGCACCATTATCAAGAGTCAGGATGTTCAGAACTAGAGCAGAACAATTATATACAGGTCTTGCCATTTAATGGAATCACCCAGATGTATAAATAAGAATTCTGGCTTCTTAGAGATAAAGAAATCACTGAATAAATGAAAGAAATACAAAAAGCACCACTTATCAACATAATTTCTCTTTGTGTATTATTGTATTACTGGCCAATGATTTTAAACAGGCTGTGAAATTGGTAAATGAATGACTTTCAACTGCCTGCAAGTAAAAAAAAAACAAAACAACTGGTAACTTTCAAATAATGTGCAACAAGGGCAAGCTGACAATGCCTGGCATATACCAGGAGCTCAAAAAATTACTGCTGAACAAAGAATTAAAATTGGAGCATTCATGGGGTACCTGGGTGGCTTAGTTATTAGTTAAGCGTTCAACTTCAGCTCAGGTCATGATCTCCCACTTCGTGGGTTTGAGTCCTGCGTCTGGTTCTGTGCTGACAGTGCAGAGCCTGTTTGGGATTCCCCCTTTTTGCCCCGCCCCCCCCATTCGTGCTTTCTCTATCTCTCAAAATAAATGAATAAACTCTAAAAGATAATAAAAAAAAAAAATCAGAGGCTTAATGAAGCATACGTGAGGTATACATTTCTCATGAAAACATGTTTTTAAAAGACTTTGGAGAAGAAAATATCCACATGTATACTTTCTTATTTTATCTTTTAAAATATGACTCATATCCAAAAATATTAACTAGGGCTTAACATGCACAAAAGGGATCTTAAAATCTTTATTAATCTCTTCAGGGTTTTCTAGTTCACCAGTTCATAGTTGTAGACGGAAAGCAAATGATGTACTAAATTAAAGATCCATTCCTTTGAGTCACAATGCAAGTAAGATAGCCAGTAGGACAGGAAATCAGAGAGGTTTGAATTTTCTATGTATGTTTTTTAAGGATTACTACTGACAACATTTCAGGTTCTAGTCATGGTCTATCCATACAACTCTTATTAAATTTAAAGCAAACCCTCAAAAGAACAATATTGAAGAGCAACCTATCCTTCAAGATGAGAAGCACAACTTACTTCAACTTGGAACAGTTCTCCAGCCCCTTCACAGTCATTGGATGTGATTATTGGAGTATGAATATGGACAAAGCCACTGTCCTGGAAAAAAAGAAAACCCACTTTTTTTTCAGTACATGTGTACATGAAACAACTCTATTATACTATTAAAAGAGCACTAAGAGATTGCCATATCAAATCCCTAACCCCCCAAATGTAACTATTGAGATATCAAGCTGAGGGTTCCACTGTACACAGCAGCACAAAGAATTTTAAATCAAAAACTGACTTAGACATTACCTAATCCAGTATCACTTCAAAACAGCATCAGAAACTGAGGCCCAGAGAGATTTAATGAAAAATTCACATATCTAGTCAGTGGCAGAGAGAGCCAGGAGTAGAACCTAGGCCTGCAGGGTCTCTCTGGTGCTGTTTTTTCTTCCCACTTCTCTAGCACACTAGTAGTGATTTAACATACACACACACACTTAAGGCTAATGCATAATATTGCTGCCTGTATTGCTAAGGGACTACAAATGATCAATACGAAGTGCAGCTATTTTGGAATGAGACCTCTAATTGTCACAAACCACCAAAAAGGAGAAAAATTAAAGTTGACAAATAGGGATTGGAGAAATATATGGCAAAAAAGGCAGAAATGATTTTTAGGAAGTCTGTCATTAAATTGATGGCACAGCACACTACACATGGCACAGGCATTGCACTTCCTTTCCCTCAAAGATTCTGAGCAGCAAATCCATCCATTACTGAGGCGCCAATTGCAATTCTTCCGCTCCAACGTCTGAACTATTTCCATTAGTGAACCACAAAAGCTGTTTGCTAGTTGGATTGAAATAACCCAGCAACTTCAAGGTTATGCTTCTTTCATTTTGACTATGGATGTAGGCAAAAGGTTACATTCCGTGTAAATGTTGCAGGTGGGCGTGGAGGTAGCACAAGTGAACATATGCTGCAGAGGCAGAATAGTACGTGTTTCACACAAAAATTTGGGTCTTGAAATCAATACAATAAATTCATACATACACATTTAATCTCTGCCAAATTCTGTGTATCACTGGTGTAATGTAAAATGTCTCTAGTGCATCACACTAGGGGCCTCCCAAATTTGCCCCTTCCTTCCTAAAAAAGGTTGAATTCAAGTATCCTTGCTATGATACAAAGTGCCCAGTTAACTTGTCTAGGATGTAGAATGATTAAATAAATATTCACACTATAAATTAGGAGTCTCAGAAAATATTCAAATAGGTACTTAAACTGGGAGCCATGTGCCTAGAGGTGCCACACAAAGCACATTATAGACAATGAATGAAATATAATCAATAACATTACTGCATAAAATTTTTATCTCCTAGGAACCAAGAATTATGGACATGAATCATTTATTCCACATGAATGCAGGCAACTATGAGCAGGAGTGCAGTAAACAAAGAAAGGAAGTGAAAAATCCAAAGGAAACGAGGGTGGTGAGAGGGAGGGGGGAGGGAGGAGAAAATTTAACGGCTAAATGTAATTGCCAAAGTTAGAACTGGTCAATTGCCACAAGAAACAAAACTGCAAATCTTATGAAAATAACCATATGGGTTTTTTTTTTTTAATCACTCAAGTTGTGGGAATTATTCTTAATACTCAATTAACACTAAACCTTTCAAAAGGTGTCACCAGCTTTTTAAGTCTAATACTGCTAGAAGGCTTATATCAAAGTGTATAACATTACCACCAAAAGCTATGAAGAGAGGCCAAAGGAAAAATAACAAAGCACTGAGAACAAAATCCAAAACAGAGAAAGTAGATAGGGAAGTAGAAAAATAAAAAGGAAGAAAAATAATAAGGAGTCAGAGGAATACTGTCTGCCTCCACCAGGGTAACAGTTGTCAAGTATTTATCCCATCCTGCACAAGGGGGTTCCTAACTAGAGATAGGAAGGCCAGAGAAGGGGCCAAAAATAAAAGCACGCACTTACCCAATTTTTCTGATTCCACACACCACCTCTAAATATCTAAATATTTTTTGACAGATACACATTCTAGAACCAGATATTTTATATGGCACTGAGTATCTAAAAATTACAAAATTCACATACTAAGGCCCTTGCATATCCAACACTCACAGACTGTATTTATCTTTCACATTCACACAAAGTATCATTATTTAATTACAATCAACAACAAAAAATGACAAAAACTGTCAGCCACTGGCAACCAAAAATGACAGCAAGAAGACAAAAAAAAAAACTTCCATAAAAAGCAGTCACAAGAACTCGAAGACACAGTAGTCTGGGGTCATTCAACAGAGGGGCAAAGAATACACCCTGGCAGGCTTTTAAGGCATATCCGTCTAGAGGAGGGAAAAATCTGATACTCAAAGGAAGAACCTTGACTCATCAAGAAAGGACAAACTCTTTAATGGCTCAATTTAGGAAGCAAGGAAATATGTAACACACTTTAGGATAACCTCCACTGGAAATTGGAAAAAAAAGGTAGTACCTAAAGAGATAATCCTGTTATTTGAGAAACTTAGCTCTTCTAAATAACTCATTCCTTGAGGTTTCTCCATACCCAAGTTTTGGTGCATAGCAAATGTGTCAATTTTATGCACAAACCAAGTCATACACAAAACACGTTTGATCACTTGAACCAACAACTGAATTTCTAGGGTGCCTGGGTGGTTCAGTCAGTTAAGCTCCTGACTCTTGGTTTCAGCTCAGGTCATGATCTCGTGGTTGGTGAGTTCAAGCCCTGCATCCAGCTCTGCACTGACAGCATGGAGACTGCTTGGGATTCTCTCTCTCTCTCTCTCCCTCTCTGCTCCTCTCCCACGCACGTGTGTTCTCAAAATAAATAAACTTAAAAAAAAAAATTAACTTTCTAATCTAAAAATATTAGGAAAAAACAGAAACTAAAATCGTCCCTCTTAAGTTAAGATACTTTAAGTTATGAAATTTTTACTTAGAAACTAAAACATAGAGTTTTAAGTCTCAACATCTTTTAGGATGCCTAAAGTAGTGAATTATAGTCCAAAGTACTAAATAACATGTAAGTATTATTTAATGTGCCTTAGTACTCTGTGATTTCAATCCAATCCCAACTGTTCCACATACAAGTGGGTAACATTATAGAATTATCAGAATTATATTTTCCAAGGCTTCATAATTAAAAAGTGAATTTATAACACTCAAAATTACCTACCTTTATAACTATAACCAATAGTGCTAAAATTCATTATTTTCAACCAGTTAAAATGTTACTTTGTTTTTTTTATTTCAAAATTTCCCAGTTGATTTTTAAGTTGTTTACATATTTATAGAAGCCTCAAGTAGGAAGTATATACAGAAAGTAGGTAAAGCTCACTAGTCAGTGGACTGCCAATACCACCACCTAGTGGCCAGAAATCTACAAAATCTTCAGTATTGAAGCAGGGTGGCTTTATCCACTGTTTAAAGCCATATGGGGAAAAAAAAAACATTTTTAGATCTGAACAAATTTTGTTTGTGTGGTTCAAGCACGACTAAAAAGCCATATGGAAGTTGCACAGAAAGTTTATGGAGCATATGGAAATGCACCCTTTCAAACTATAATGGGATGATATAGTATAATGTGATTATTTTTCTTTGTTTATTCAAAACTATATGCTTTAAAGCCATGATGCTCTTTAGCTGTTTCACCAGAAATTCACTCTAAAGGAACTTTTCAAAGAGCAAGAACTCTCATGGTAAACTACGGTTGGGCTGGCCCTGCATGAATTTGGATGCAGTCCAAAGAAGGGGTATGATGTTAGACAATCTCTGCAGATGAACTGGATCTGGAGAAGTGGCATAGGAAGAGCTCCAGAACCACTCAGAATAACACTGAACCTCATGTGCCAGGCCATTCCTTGCCTTTGGGGTCCTCTCATCCACATGTGGCGAGGATCCCTTCACCTCATCAACTTACCAACTATATTCCACTGTGGCTTTCCTGGGTAGGGGGAAATGGCTGACAAGCAAAGCTAAAAACGACAAAATACCTTTAGTTGTACATCAATCTACTTGATTAATACCAATAACTCTTAGGGCACCTGGGTGGCTCGGTCAGTTAAGCGTCCGACGTCGGCTCAGGTCATGATCTTGTGCTTTACGAGTTCGAGTCCCACGTCGGTTCTGTACCAACAGCTCAGAGCCTGAAGCCTGCTTCAGATTTGGTGTCTCCCTCTCTCTCTCTGTACCCCCCCTGCTTGCACTCAGTCTGTCTCTCTCTCAAAAATAAATAAAAACATTAAAAAATATATATATAAAGAAAAAAATACCAATAACTTTCAAATCAGTGCTTACTATGTATAAAATATGCCTATGACCAAGATGGAGAAACAGGGACCAGATTTACCCTCCCCCTTGAAACAACCAAAAAAACCCACCAAAAACAAAAATAAAGCCCCCACAAGCAAACCACATGAAAGGCTGGTTTTTAAGATGATGGATTCTGACAACAAAAGAGAGTGATCCCTGAGATATGAAACAAACTTAGCAAATCCTATCAGTAGCCCTGCTTACCACCTTGAGATTATCCAGGCCATAGTAGGAAGAGGGGGAGAAATAAAGTGGAGCCCAGGAGACCTCCTGAGTTGAGGAGACAGAGCTGAGAGTGTGAAGGGACAAAAGTGGCTAGAATTCATAGGACAGAGTATCAGAGAGGAGAGAGCAGCACAGAGAACTCCAAGGATGTACAGAGGGTCACTCTAGAGTGTCAGGTAGAGGGATGACGGACACATCCATGTGGGGAAACTGTCAAAGGCCAAGGAAAGAACCATCCAGAAAGATTAGAGGAAACAGTGCCTGGTGCTCACATGTGGCTGGTTAATTAGCCCTAGACTGAGCACTGTTCCAGACCCATTTACCAAATCATAAAAGACCCAATAGGATCAAACAGTTTTCAAGTAGCTTAACCACACACCAGAACAAAATTTAAGAAGCTTTATAAATATCCAACATGGTAAAATTCACAATGTCTGGCATCTAACCAAAGATTAGCAGGTATGCCAAGAGGCAAGAAATCATAAACTGTAATGAAGAGACTAATGAATCAATCAAAGCTGACTCATAACTGACAGACATGATAGAATTAGGACATAAAATAGATATCAAATAGCTACTAAAAACATAAATATTTTTAATTAAAACCGTATTGTGGGGGCACCTAGGTGGCTCAGTCAGTTGAGCATCTGATTCTTGACTTCAGCTCAGGTCATGATCCCAGGATCATGGGATAGAGCCCTGTGTTGGGCTCGGTGCTGAGTGTGAAGCCTGCTTAAGATTCTCTTTCTCTCTCCCTCTGCCCCTCTCCCCTGCCCGTGCTCTCTCTCTCTCTCTGTCTCAAAAAATAAAAAATAAATTAAAAGAAGAAAGTAAATGTAAAATAAAAATATATGTTTAAAAAATGCATAAAACTGCCCTGTATGTTTTTTTTTTAATTTTTTTTAATGTTTATTTTTGAGAGACAAAGAGACAGAGCATGAGTGGGGGAGGAGCGGAGAGAGAGGGAGACACAGAATCCAAAGCAGGGTCCCGGCTCTGAGCTATCAGCACAGAGCCCGACACAGGGCTCGAACCCACACTGTGAGATCATGACCTGAGCCAAAGTCGGACACTCAACCGACTGAGCCACCCAGGCGCCCCTGCCCTGCATATATTTTAAAAGTTAAACAGAGACATGCAATATATTTTTTCCAAAAGGCCCAAATCAAACATAGAGATACGAAACCTACAATGTGAGATGAAAAATGCACTGGATTGGAGTAACAACAAATTAGTCATTGTAAAAGGAAAGATCAGGAAGCTAAAAGGGCAGAAACTACCTTCCAAAAAAAAAAAAAAAAAAAGGGAAAAAGAAATTAAAAAAAAAAGAAAAGAACGTCACTGAGCTATGGAAGTATCAAGTGGCCTAATATATGGACAACAGAAGTCTCCAAAGGCAGGAAGTAACATAAAAAATATTTGAAGAAATAATGGATGAAAAACTTAATGAAAATGAAAACCCATAGATCCAAGAAATTCAACAAGGTCTAAACACAAGGAACAAAGAAAACTGCGCCGGCACATCATAATCTAACTGCTTAAAACCAGTGATAAAGAGAAATTTAAAAAAAATTTTTTTAACGTTTATTTATTTTTGGGACAGTGAGAGACAGAGCATGAACGGGGAGGGGCAGAGAGAGAGGGAGACACAGAATCGGAAGCAGGCTCCAGGCTCTGAGCCGTCAGCCCAGAGCCTGACGCGGGGCTCAAACTCACGGACCGTGAGATCGTGACCTGAGCCGGTCGGACGCTCAACCGACTGAGCCACCCAGGCGCCCCGAGAAATTTTTAAATCAAAGAAAAAAAGTACCACACAAGTAAAGGGTGCTTGGAATAAACACTGTAACTAACAAAACGTTCAGGATAACACTCCAGGGTTACAATCATTCAATTTCTCCACAAGAAAGAACAGCTAGGAAGAAAAAAGAAAAAGAGTAGCTAGAAGCACACCAAGCACCTCACCTTAAAGAAAGAATGAATAGCAGCTGTGGCTTCACTGCGAATCCTCAGTATGGAACCCAGAGCATTAGTCCTGCACCTGAGGTGGGGATACTGTCTCAGATACTCCAGAGGATGCCTCTCTTTATATTTAAGAGGAAAAGCCTGCCAATAAATGGAAAAAACAAATTGAAAGCTAAGACATATGTTCTATAAAATCAGTTTCCAGAATATTTGTTAAATAGTAATGCTTTGTAACAAAATTAAAAGCTTTCTTTCTCTATTTCTTAATATAAGTGAACATGGTCCAATTAACTACAAGTTAATTGAATGGTGAGGTAGGAATCAGAGATGTGGTTTTGAATCCAGCTCTACTACTTATTAGGCATGGAACCTTGGGCAAAATTAGTATTGCTGAGTCTAATCTGTTATTTATCAAATTTCTATCCATTAGCTTGTATTGGTCACCACTTACAAATAGAGAGATTAGGATATAATTATGCAAAAACAGTCCACTGTTTGGCACATAGGAGTTCAGAATATTGTAGATATTAAAGATTGTTTTCTACAGCTGTGTACACACAGCTGGCATTCAATTTTAAAATCACCCAAATGTCTTGAAAGCCCACAATCATTTATAATCAATTGGCACTGTTTTTCACTGTTTATCAACAAGTCTAAGAACATGAGGGAGGGTCAACAGCCTTCTGTCACTAGCAGAGTAGTGTATTTTTCAAAAATTTCAAATTATGACTCTATGTAGAAATATTCCACCCTGTGAACATTCATGTTACAAGATTTAGAAGATAAAAACAAACTGTTCTAAACTTGTTCTAAAGAACAAAACCAAAGTTTCAATAAAAAAGATAGCAGAGAAACTATTTTAAATAAAAAAGCCAAACTGGTAGCTTATTACATATAGTCTTATCTACTTCTTTTAGTGTACATGCTAATTTAATTCATAATAGAAATAAGCACCATACCTACTGAAGTCAAAATATGACCACATTAATAGGTGTCTGGGGACTGCCTAGGGACCAGAATTCCCTAATGTCTGAATACTTACAAAATGACACTGAAATTAAGGGGAAGAGAAGGTGAGTGACAACCACAGAAGCCAAGAGAGAACGGCTTAAAAAGAGTAACACACATGACGCATTTTAATAATCATACACCCCTCTAAAAAAAGCAAAAACAAAAATGGTTACCATCTCCATTCCTCTCTGAATTCCAAATTATTTTTCACAGTCTACTTTTCAGAAACCTTAAAACCTGATTCCTGATTTTACATGTCAATTAGTATTTATTAGTATTATTAGAATTTCTTGGAAAACTATTCAGAAGGACATTTTGCAAAAAGGTGCCCATTTTCTTATTTCCTTATATTTATTTTCCTCCAATTATCCAAAAAAAAAAATAAAAACGAATTAAAATGATGCAATTTCCCTATATTTCCTTGGGTTTTGTTCATCAAATACTTGGAAGACAAGTATAGCAAAACTACAGAGGAGTCAAATGGCTAGTACACAAATTCCAGCTGTGGCACTAGTCAGCAGTATCACCTTGGGCAAGCCATGTCTCCCGCCTGGGCCTCATTTTCTCCAATTTCAGAAGATGGATTGCCAACCTATAATTTTATTCTCTCTAACCTCTTTATCAGGTGATGAATAAAAGCTACTAACAAGGAGTCTTGCAAAAACAGAAAAAATTCTGTTGGGACAGTACTTATCATGCTTGGGCTGAGCAAACATGTCTTAATGTAGGATTTCTTATCTTTCTTCAGCCCAAGCATGGTAAGTACTGTCTGACAGAATTTTCTGTGATAAGTTCTGTACCCACACTATCCAATATGGTAGCCAGCAGCTGCATGTGAAATGTATCTAATGTCACTGAGGAACTGATTTTATTACTTGATTTAATATTAAATTAATACTAAACAACTGCAGGTGGCTAGTGGCTACTACATTGGGACAACACAGTTCTAGATCCTGTAAAAGTCATTTCTAGGCAGGGCTTTCCTTAGAACACGTTCTCCTCAGCATGTCTCTGTCACTGAAGTTAACTGGGCATGCTTCTAAATGTGGCAAGTTTCAATTATGAGAGGTGTCCAAAGAGATGTATAGATTAATACTTTGCTTTCAGTCATAAAATTCAGCCATTTACATACTGTTTGCTATGTTCTCTACATTCCTCAGGCTCCACAGCCTGTTTCAATTATCTGGGAAGTCACAACTGAAACATGTTCTAAGTGCCACCTTCCCAATAATCACACTTAAAACAGATTGCTGTTTTAAATTAAGCCTAAATAGTCTCCATAAAAGTATCACGAAGCATACCTTGGCATCACAATTTCCAACAATTTCTATTTTTTCTGCCTTCAGTTCCACATTCTGCTTTTTGGATGGACTTTTCACCAGCTGCCCTTGAACTTCCACAGAACTCCCAAAAGCCAGTTCTCTATAGTAACAAAAAACAGCATAAACAAGATATCATTATACAGAACGTTCATTTTAATACAAAACTTGCTATCAGAACATTACAGTATTTAATGATAGAGGTTTCACCCTTAAATGGGCAGCAAATAATTAAGAGAGACTGAAGCAAAGGATAAGTAGGGGATATAATTATGTGAAGATGTTAAAAAAAAGAAAGGTCTGGGAGCGCCTGGGTGGCTCAGTCAGTTAGTTCAGCATCTGACTCTTGATTTCAGCTTAGGTCATGTTCTCGCTTGTGGGATTGAGCCCAGCGTCGGGCTCCATGCTAATACCACAAAGCCTGCTTGGGATTATCTCTCTCTCCCTTTCTCTGTCCCTCCCCCACTTACACTGTCTTTCTCTCAAAATAAAAACACAAGCTTTAAAAAAATAAAAAAGAAAGGCCTGAGCTTGAAGGATCTTGATTCCAAGTATTTGGACTTAGCCTTAAAGCTTTGAAAAGCAGGTTTGTTTAGAAAGATCACTCTGGGGTGCCTAAGGGACTCAGTTGGTTGAGCATCCAACTTTGGCTCAGGTCATGATCTCATGGTTCGTGAGTTCAAGCCCCACATCAGGCGTGCTGCTGTCGGTGTAGAGTCCACTTCAGACCCTTTGTCTCCCTCTCTCTCTCAAAAATAAACATTAAAAAAAATATGTGAACATTGGATTAGGGAAAAGGGGAGCAAAGGAGATGAAAAAAAGATTCTTTTGTTAAAAAAATAAAAAACTCACCTACTGTCAAAGCTTGAATCAGCTACAACTTGAAGGCTTTCCAAAGATGATCCATCATTTATATGCAGGAATAACACTTCCTTCTGGGATCGGACTGAACGAATCCAACCCTAATGAAGAAAAATTTCTAAATGTGAGTTTAAAACATGTAAATATTTTACATTTTCATTACACATGCACACACAAGACTAAATGGAAAAAAAAAAGTCCTCAGTCCTGCCTTAACAAATCAATTGCTTTTAGCATATATAATTCAATAGGATTCTTATCTCAGGGAGATACAGCTTTGGCATTCCACCTTTTTGTTTTGTTAATATAAAACTCATCATTCTCAGGGGCACCTGGGTGGCTCAGTTGGTTGAGCGTTCAGGTTGGTTTTGGCTCAGGTCATATCACCACAGTTCGTGAGTTCAAGTCCCACATCAGGCTTCACACTCTCTCTCCCTGCCCTCCCCTGCTTATTCTGTCTCTCTCTCAAAATAAATAAATAAACTTAATTTAAAAAACAAAAAAACAAAAAAACCTCATCATTCTGAATACATGCCTAACGTTCCATTAGGCCGATGAGCCTAATTCATATAATCAATTTCCCCAATATTGACTATTCCAGGTATTCATTCCAGGTGATAATAATATGGCACATTATTTGGGCCCCTGTCTCCTTTTATATTAAACTCCCAGGAGGGAAATTATGTAGTTATAGAACAGAAACATCTTCATTGGATTTTTCCTTTTACAAAATATCACACAGACTTCTCAAAAAGCTTTTCACTGTGGCATATATTTAGTACATAAGCTTTCAAAGACACTGTGAATTTAAATGACAGGTGAGTACAAATGAGGTCTTCTAGTAGTAACACTAAAACCAGTAACACTAAAAACAGCTCTCACAGATCACATCCAACTTAAATTTAACTAGCACAGAAGAGACAATATTCTTCTAGCAGACACTGAAAAACTGTGAACAACTGATTGTGTTTGATTATCAGACATGCTTGGGAAAAGCGAGAGGATTCTATTTAGAAAAACTGTATTGACCCTTACTTTGTGTTCCCACCACACCCTACGGACAACGCTATTAAAGCTCTCCCATTACTTATTCATATGTCTATCATATTGTGAAGGTTTAAGAACCATGCTTTAGTGGCTTTGAAGGCCATTGTCAGGGACACAGTAGATAGTTCGTTAATGGTGTTCAGTGAAAGGATATCTACCATGCACTAAAAATCTATGTGACAAATGTTTTACTACCTTCTTCATATACTATCTCATCTTTTTCTCACAACAGCTCTGTGGATTATCATTATAACCTGTCTCACAAGTGAAGAACCTCGGTTCAGAGAAGTCAAATAAGTTGTCAAAGGTCACACTGCTGGTAGACAGAGCCTGAATTTGGACCCAGGTCTACCAGAAAGCCCTTGGTCTTTTTCTAGGGCTACACTGAAAAAAAGTGTAAATTGCCTGTCTCCTATACAAGGCCTTTCACAACCGAGTGTGCCCTTTCTGGTTTCACCTCCCCACATTTCCCTGATGGCAGCGGCTCTTTGGTTATGTTTAATCAATAGTAATTCCTAAAGCACCACTGTCTTGCTTTTCACTTGTTAGTAAAAGTTAACATTTGTGGAGCAGTGTTTAATGTGCTTCTGCTCTAAGCTCTTTATAAATATTTTACACTTAATCCTTACAAGACCTTAATGAAGTGAATATTCTCATTTTAGAAATGAAGAACATATTAAGTAAGTTAGGACAACCTCTCTAAATAATTAAAATCACAGTTCCCAAGGAGTAGAGCTAGAATTCAAATACAGTTCTCAGTTCAAAGTTCATGTTATCAAGCTTTTCTGGAATGTGATCTCCACCCCATCCCCAGTTCCTCTCCCTGAGGAACATATCCTTCAGGACTCAAGTGAAATGTCACTTAACACAAGAAGTCTTCCTTGACCTCACATAGTGAAGGATGTCCCTGTTTTCTCAAAGTTCCTTATTCCACTAATACTTATCACGTTGCCCCAATTACTTGTCTTAGCCATTAGACCAAGGCTGTCCCACAAACATATAATGTGAGCCATATATGTAATTTTGCTTGTTTTAGTGGTCACACTAAAAGTAGACAGGTACACTTAATTTTAATATTCTAACCCATTCTGCCAACATTGTCAATGTGTAATCAATATATATATTGAGATATTTTGTATTCTTTTGTTCTCCAAAATTGGTGTGTATTTTAAATTTACAGTTACCCTTCAATGTGGACTAGCCACATTTTAAGAGCTCAGTGCCACAAACAACAGGTAGCTACTATCTTAGACCACACAGCACTAAAATGAAAGCCTCTGATCTAGGCAGTAGCTTTTGTTCTTTTTATCTTTGCATCCTTTCTTGACTACCACTTAGAAGGGATCATTAATGTATGTATGTCAAATTAATAGATGAATACAAGAAAAGGGCTTGATTTGGATCATGGAAAAAACATGAAACCCCCCAAAATGCAGAGGAGTCATACTGCTAAAAATCAAAGAATTCGAGGACAACAAAAATAACTGCAGCAGTGTTTCAGCAACTGAAAAGGGTCAAACCACCTTGCTTGGTCTACTCCCTTAAAGGAAAATCTTATCTGTAGAGCTGCTGCAAATACTAGCAAGAGAAATAATAGCAGCTAACATTGATTGACTGTGGGCCACTGTTCTAAATGTCATAATACCTGTCATCTCACTTAATCTTCACCATTCTATGAGGTTAAGGCTATTATTAGCTTCATTGCCATAAGAAGCAAACGGGTTTAGAGGAGAGAAGAGACCATAATTACTATTATAGAAGAGACCCATAATTAATGAGCCACTAAGTGCCACAGATTTGAACCTAGTCACCCTGACTCTAGAGTTGTTTCAAACCGCTACACTCTACTCTTTCTCCTATGTATTAAACATACATTATGTGCAAACCCTTTTTTCGGCCTCAGGGTGGTTAAGAGTTGAATAAAAGCCATTGTTTAGTTGAACATATATTTACTGTAAGACATGGGAATACCAAGACCGGTAAGACATGGTGTCCGCTCTCATGGAGCTAGCTCAAGGCAACCGCTATGTATGTAACTGTGGTTATTCGTTATGAGGGATAAAGGAAAAGAAGCTCGTACGTTTATTCTGCCGTATAACTAACAAGTTTACAGGTAATGCTCTGGTACCGTGAAAGCAAAGTTCCAGCACGTCACAGTCAATCCCAACAGTTCTGCGCAAACTAACGATAGGCAAGGAAAGGAGAAAAGTGTGAACGCACACGATGGCCAACATTTCCTCCTTTCTCTGTCTGTCGTTTTGTCTGACCTGACAAGGTAAGCCTAGACACGGAGGTGGCATGTAAGTTACTAAAAAGAAAAACCCATCCCCTTCCCATACACCAACCTGGACCTTAACGCGCTCCCCATTCGTGCTCCGGGCCCCGAGCGCGTCCCGAACGCTCAGTCTGGCGGAAGGTTTGTGTCTCGGGCAGGGGGCTGAGGTGCAGGAGCGCAGGGCTCGGAGCAGGCACCGGGCCCCGAACATCGCGCTGCTGCCGCAAGCTCTCCTCGGGACCAGCACGGATCCCGGCGGGTGAGCACTTTGCCTGTGGAACCCTCCCCTACTATCGACTGCTCCCCGATTCTGGACAGCAGCCCTGCACTCACGCGCTCCACACCTCCTACCCCTAACCCCGGCTGCTCCCTTCCCCTTCAGGGGCTCCAGCTGTGTCCCCACCACCTCCCCGCCGCTTCCCTCTCCGCAGACAGGGAGGAGCGGAGACAACACAGCCAGCTGACTAAGCCTAAAATACCACGCGCCGTAGCCAGCAGAGACACTTCAGGGACCCGCGTCTTTTCCAAACCCACAGACCACACCGCCTCCCCCAGCTGAAACACGCGCGGCCACCGCCCCTACGCCACAAGCCAACGTCAACGTCATCACGCTACAAGGAGACCAAGAAGGAGCGTGCGCACTGGTGACTCCAGTTTACGGAGGGGGCGGGCCGAAGGCAGGGGCTGGCTGAGCAGGGGAGGAGGCGGGGCCAGGAGCTAAAGCATTCTGGTTGTAAGTAGGTGTTGTTGCTGGAGCAACTGAGGAGCACAGCTGGGATGAGGTCTGAAAGGTCTTCATTTCTACAGCTTCCAGTTGATGCTGAAGGACACTGAGAGGCAAGGAGTGACTGATGCACAGGGAAAGCCTCCAGGAGACTTAGTTGTTGAGAGGATTAGCCTGAGGATATCGGCCATTCCTGAGTTCTGAGCACAAAGACGAGGCACAGACCCTTGCTTAAGTCACAGTTGTGTGGTATCAGACATCTAAACAGACAAGTGCATAAGAGTGATAGGATGCCAGAGATGGCTTACTGGAGAAGGTAACCCTCTGACGACTGAAGAGTAACTTGAAGGGACTCTGTTTATGCAATTCAGAGAAGGCACGACAGTGTGAAGATGTTGGGGAGAGGCTAGAGGGAATGTTGGCCATTGCCTGCCGGAATCTTCAAATCTCTTTTTTCCAACACAGTTATCTGCATTTGTTTGACCAGGAAACAATGACCCTTTTAAGTTTATCCCCCCACCACCAATTAAAAAAAATTCTGTAATTCAGTGACAATCATGAAAAGGTTTCTATCTAATTAAAAGAAAGAAGGGCTAATAACATAAAGTTGCTGCTATTTATTATGCCCATTTTATAGATATGGGAACTTGGGCACAGGAAAGTGAAATGACTTAGTCAAGGATATATATCCTATAAGTGTGAGATTTAAACTTAGAAACTCTGGCTCCATGCACTAAAGTATTATGCTATATACAATGTCTCAAGGTGGGAAATAAAATCATGGTCCCTTCCACCAAGAAGCTCATGGCCTGGACCTAGGAAATGGCAAACAAACAAATTATTGCAATATAAACCAATAAGTTCACATAAATATATGAGCCACGTGGAGTGGTAGTCTAGAGAAGGAAATAAGGTGAGTTTTTTGAGGAGAATCAGAATTTTGCAATGCTGGGATGTAAGAAAGAGTATTTCCTTCCAGAAGGTAGGCAGGAAAGGTTGCCAGGAGGGCAAACAGCCTGGAATAATTGTAAAACTGTTCTCAAGACAGACTGAAAAATATCTCCCACAAAAATACCATAGTTCTTGGACACTTCTTGAAACTTGCAAAAAGAATATTGAGGGACACTTGGCTGGCTCAGTTGGGAGAGGATGTGACTCTTGATCTTGGAGTCATGAGTTCGAGCCCCACATTTGGCAAAGAGATTGCTTAAATAAAAAAAAAAAATTTAAATATGGAAATGTCCAAATACCTTCAGAATTATGTAGCTTTGGGCCTTTAACAAAAAAATAAGCATGGCTTTGGTGTATTGGCTACAAAATCTGGGAAGAACTCAATCACAGCAATAACATGTTTTTCAGTTCAAATCTCCTCTTTGACTATGCCTACCTTGCCTAAGGGTTGAAAAGTAGTGGCCAACTGGCTCACTTCCTACCCAGGCTGTTTTTCTGTCTTGCCTTCTTTTTCCACCCCTTCTCCGTCAATTGTAAGAACTATGGTTTCTCAGGAAGTGAGGAACCTGACTTCCTTTACCCTCTTACTTACTGCCTGTATAAGCCAAAGGGTTAGTTAATTTCTAAGCAGGGACCAGTGCCTACTAGTATGATGAAGACAAGGGAAGCCAGTGGGTGTAACTGAAAATTAGCAGTAGTTAACTGAAAATGTATACAACTGAAAGTCAACTATAGCAATCATGTGTCTGGTGCTAAGTTCAAACCACTCCATGTATTTATCTTGTGTTATATCAAATCGTGTTTCCTTATTTTTATTTTCAGTGTTGGAATGACACTGCTGTTTTTTAGATTTGTCACCTTTCAGACAGTAGCCAGAATGATCTTTCCAAAATTAATATATTACTATGCTGGTAATAATAGTGCTATAAAATGCTTCCTATGTGCTAGGAAGTTTTCACATATGAACTCAATCCACACAATATCCTTCTGAAGTAGGGTTAGCATCATCATCCCATTTCCAAAGGAGAAACTGAAGCTTGGAGAGGTTTCGAACTTCTACCAAGTTACACTGGCAGTCTGGCACCAGAGTCCATTCTCTTCCCCACTTGTTACTCCAGTGATTAAACCGCTCTTCAGTGGCTGCCCCTACGACATAAAGAGGACTTGTCTTCTTTAGCATGCCTACCGGGCTCTCTATGATTCTGGGAGTTCCCTGAGGTGCCCTGGAGTGAGGAACAGAAGTGAAATGTCCTTATTGTTACCTTTTGATAATACGGGTCTGGGCAATGAACACTGTCAGCAATACTTGTCAGCTTTAGAGAACGTTTTAATCAGGCTCAGCATGACAGGTTTTAGCTTAACTTGCAAAGCTTCAGGACTTCTAAAAAGCAGGCATCACTCTGATACCCAATGTGGTCATAAAATACAACTGCGTATTCAGGGTTTTCATTATGCTTGAATCCACTCATGAAACTTGCAACACCCAAAATTTGATTTCAAGGTCATGACCTCAAAACATAGAGGAACATACTATTTGATGCAGAAATTATGGAGACATTAGGTATAGACAAGGATTGGATGAATATTGTAAAGGATCCTGGGTTTCTCTGAAGAAGCTAACAAGGGTGAATACGGTTTAACTTGAAAAATGGAAAGGCACAGGCACAAAGGAGAATAAGAAGACGCATTTGTAGTTTGGAACCTTCGGGAAAGCAGCTCATAATTATAAAGAGAAGCTGACAAGCAAGTGGTCAACGAAAGGAAAAGACACAATAGTAACCAAGTGTTGAGGGAGCGAGCAAGGTGGTTTCCCTAGAGAGAGAAAGGTGGTTTTCCTAGCGGTTTTCCAGGATCTGCACTTTCCTAGAGGAAGTGACATCTAAGTTGAGCCAAAGGATGAATAACAGCCAGGAAGAGGGGAATTGTATGTGATGAAGAGAGTTGACATCGTTCTAGATAATGATCTGGGTAGATCACATATGTAAACATTCCTTGAGCTATAAACTTAAGATTTGTGCATTTTACTTACATATACCTCAATAAAATAGAAATTAAATATTAAAATAGGAGAATCAGTGGTGCCTGGGTGGTTCAGTTGGCTTAGCGTCTGACTCTTGATCCTGGCTCAGGTCACGATCTCACAGTTCATGAATTTGAGCCCTGTGTCAGGCTCCAAGTGTGGAGCCTGCTTGGGATTCTTTTTCTCTCTCTCTCTCTCTCTCTCTCTCCCTCTCTCAAAATAAATAAATAACCTTTAAAAAATAGGGGAATCAAGTCTGCTGATAGGAGGAAAGCATCTTCTTTCCCTGGCTAGTGCAAGAGCCTTTTTTTAAAAAAACATGTGAACTATTTCCTGCATATGGAAGAGTTTAGAAAATAATGTAATAAAACCTGGTAGCTACCACCTAAGTTTGTCATATCAAATCTTAATATTTTGTCCTATCTCCTTGAGATCTTTCTCTTTCCAGGAAATGGATCTCCTTTGTACTCCTCTGCAATCCTATTTCCCACTTTTCCTCCTGGATAGAGGTAACCACTATCCAGAATTCTGTGTTTATCATTTCCTTCCATGTTTTTATATTTTAATTAGACACATAAATACAAATAATTATATATATAATACACACATTTAGGTACATATACATATATGTATATATACATTATGCATTTATAGTCTTTTGTATTGTTTTACAGATTTTTAAACTTTAAATTAATGGTATCTTGGTCTATAAATTATTCTGCAACTCAAATTTACTTTTTGAGATATAACCACGTAGCTCCAGCTCATTCTTTTTAATATTCTGTTATATGAATATGACACAATTAATTCATTCTCATTCTGATAGTTATTTGGGCTGCTTTCAATGTTTTTCTATTACAAAAGAGGTGGGTTTATCATGAAGCTAATGAAGGGTAAACTCCAAGCTCCTTATCTGCATTTATGCAATGCAAATTATATGAAATTCATAAGGGTGTGAACCTCTTAGCATCCCACTCTACCCCCAAAGTGCTGGGACCTGCTGGGAGTTGTAAAGCAACAGGGGAAGCAATCAGCAATCTGAGTCCAAAGGAACTCAGAGGGCATGAATTTCCAAAGTTCTAGAAATTTCTTGTAACTTCTCTCATTCTAAAACTTAAAAAAAAATTTTTTTTTTTCTTAACGTTGTATTTATTTTTGAGACAGGGAGAGACAGAGCATGAACAGGGGAGGGTCAGAGAGAGGGAGACACAGAATCCGAAACAGGCTCCAGGCTCCCAGCTGTCAGCACAGAGCCCGACGCGGGGCTTGAACTCACCGACCGCGAGATCATGACCTGAGCCGGAATCGGCCACTCAACAGACTGACCCACCCAGGCGCCCCTAAAACTTTTCTTTTTTTAATGTTTATTCACTTTTGAGAGAGAGAGAGAGAGAGAGAGAGAGAGACAGAGCGCAAGTGGAGGAGGGGCAGAGAGAGGGGGAGACACAGAATCCAAAGCAGGCTCCAGGCTCTGAGCTGTCAGCACAGAGCCCATGCGGGGCTCAAGCTCACAGACTGTGAGATCATGACCCGAGCCGAAGTCGGCCACTTAATCGACTGAGCCACCTAGGCACCTTGTCTCTCATTCTAAACAAATATTTACCTTAATATTCGTAATTCTGTATTATTTTCCTTAAAAAGAACCTCCTAAATTACGTAAGCTTCAAGCCCCACAGAACAGGATCTGCCCTTTGGTTACTAGCATGCTGCGATAACGACACCAGACACATGAAAGCGTGTCTGTGCATCATAAGCCTCACGTACAGAAGCCATGTGCCTTCAACTTTACTAGGCACTGACAAATTGCTCTCCAGAGTGAGGATTCTAATTTATATATCCTCCAGCAAGCGTACAAAGATTCTCAGAGCACCATACCTTTAGTGACAACAGACAGAGTCAGGCTTTTGATTTTTTTTTACCAATTCTGGGTTAAGAAAGAGTATCTCAGTGTTTTTAGAGATTGTATGTTCTTTGTTCTTTTGTTTTTCCTTGAAATTCTTTTTCAACCATAACACCCATCATTATCCATAGCATAGTGGAAAGAGCACTAGCCAGGCAATTCGAAAGGAGTCCTGGTTCAAATCTTGTCCATGGCCCCCTTGCTGTGGAGACTTCAAGAAGTCATTTAAACGCTAGACTTCCTTCACAGGGCTGTTGACAGGGTTAACTGCAGCGACTTGTGAATTCTGTGATCGAGAAATGCACATGGTAGGTATCTGACTGCATACTTCCTGTTGTTTGAGTTTTAGAGTTAAGGAATCCCCTAAATTTTATCAGCCAATTCTCTTTAATTCTCAAAGCAGAAGGCTCAAGATTATTTCTATCTACTGTGTAATTCCTTTTAGGTGCAGTTCTTCAGTGGGACTCGGAAACACCAGCAGCAATTGTTGAAATGCAAATTCCTGGGTCTCCTGTCTGATGACTCCACTCACTTTGAAAAACACTTCTGGCTCTGTAGTTGGGTCTCCTCCTTTCCCTGGGTTCTTCCTTTTGCCTTCAGGAGGCCCTCTGAGACTCAAACTTCTTTTCTTCTGTACTACTGCTACTACTATTATTAAACTTTTAATGTACTTTTCCTTTTAATGATAAAAATTATTTTAAGTTTATTTATTTATTTGTTTAGAGAGAGAG